TCCTCCTCCTCCTCCTCCCTCCTCCTCCTCCTCCTCCTCCTCCTCCTCCTCCTCCTTCTCCTCCCCCCCCTCCTTCTCTCTCCTGTCCGGACCGCTGGGGGAGCAGAATGCGTTCAACCGAAAACTTCGACGGGAATCCGGCCGTGTCGACGAGGGGCTCCCCAGAGTCCACTGCTCCTCCTCTGCCTTCACAGCGATTCAGTCTGAATACTACCCTCCTCTTTCCCCCAGGAGGGAGGAGGGAGGAGAGAGGAGGGAGGAGGGAGGACGAGGACGAGGACGAAGCCGTGGTGGTCAAGAGGTGCGCTCCCCCGACGACGCTGGTGAGGTGTCCTGGCCTCCTCCGCGCACTACTTCTTTATTCACAGGATGCCACCGAGTTGGTAATTCAGATGTGTGCATTTCCAATCCAAACGTTTCCAGTCCTTGCAGAATGGCGCTCCCGTCACAGCTATGGCCCCATTGGCACGTTCTCAGTCATTCCAAGTCATGTTCATGCTGCAGCGCTGACCTCATTTTATTGTTTCGGTTCTTCCAAATCGTGCTCCTGCTGAAGCATTGGCTGCGTTTCCACGCTTCCAGTCCTTCCAAGTCGTGCTCCCACTGCAGCGCTGCTCTCATTTTCGCAAGTTCGGTGCTTCGAAATCGTGCTCCCGCTGCAACGCTGGTCTCATTTTGCGCTTCCCGCTGTCCAAACTGTGCATTTGCATTACTCGTCCTGTGTCAAGTTTGGTTTCCCTCTTGACATTGTTGTCGAAATGAGTCGCGCCCTCGACGCGATGCCATCCTATGCCGTCCTATACCATGCATCGCGCACTCTCGGAATCCTTGCCCTGCTCGACATCCGACTGTGCGAATAGAGAGGAGATCTACGCAATCGTGAGCGATGGGACGGAGGGGTTGGACGTCAGACTTGACGCTTGCGAATCTAGCTTGTCCTCCTCCTCCTCCTCCTCCTCCTCCTGCTCCTCCTCCTCCTCTCCTCTCCTCTCCAAACTCCTCATTCTCCTCATCATCGTCCTCCTCATCATCATCCTCATGATAATCATCAGCAGCAGCAGCATCATCATTATCAGCAGCAGGATCAGCAGCATGGTCAGCATCATAACCACTATCATCGTCATCATCACCACCATCATGATCAGTCTCATCAGCACCGTAGTCGTCGTGTCCATCAGGATCCGCACCATCATCAGCATCAACATCCTGGTCCTTCTCCGGACCATCAGCATCATCATCATCATCATCAGCATCCTGATCATCATCGTCATCATCATCACCATCAACATCATCATCGTCATCGTCGTCAGTAGCATTACCATCAACATACTCAGCATCATCATCACCATCATCACCATCATCATCGTCATCATCATCATCACCACCATCATCAGCATCATCAACATCACATCACCATATGTCTTCCCCCCTAGACCTCGTCCTCCCCCTCCTCCTTCTCCTACTCCTCCTCCTGCCCCCCCCCCCTCCTCTTCCTCCTGCTCCTCCCCCTCTCCCCGCTCCCCCTCTTCCTCCTCCTCCTCATCATCATCATCCTCATCATCATCACTATCAGCATCAACACCCTGCTCCGTCTCCGGATCATCAGCATCATCATCATCATCATCATCCTCATCATCATCATCAGCAGCATCAGCATCAGCATCAGCATCATCACCCTCATTTTCATCCTCATCCTCGTCACCATCAGCATCAACAGCAACATCAACCTGGTCAGCATCAACATCATCATCATCCTCAACATCATCATCATCATCAACATCAACAATATGGTCATCATCATCAGCAGCATCGTCAGCATCGCAACCGTCATCATCGTCATCGTTCGCATCATCATCATCATCATCATCATCATCATCATCATCATCAGCATCATCAGCATCATCATCATCGCCATCGTCGTTGTCATCATTACCATCAGCGTCATCATCATCATCATCATCATCAGCAGCAGCATCATCATCATCATCATAATGCTCATTATCCTCTCCATCATCGACAGTATTAGCATCGTCATCAACAGCAGCACCAGCAGCATCATGAGGTTAAGTCTCCTAACCATCACCGTCGTCGTCATCATGACAACCATCATCAGCACCATCATCGCCATCATCTTTAATATCATTCGCATTATCAGCAGCAGCAGCTTGATCAACCGCTTGAACATCAGCATCACATTCGCAATCGCCCGCATCAGTACACTCATAATGATCGTCATCATAACCACAATGACCATAATCGGCATCAGCATCACCACCGCTTCCATCAACATCCTCGTCACCATCATCCGCGTCAAAGCCATCATCATGTGCATCGTTAGCATCATCGACAAAATGACCGTCATGAAATCAGCATCATCACGCTAACCCTCACCATCAACCTCACCGTCATCATCATCATCATGAGCGTCATCAGCATCAGCAACGTCATCATCATCATCATCATCAGCATCATCAGATCCATCAGCATCATCATCATCATCATCATCATCATCAGCAGCAGCAGCAGCAGCATCAGCATCGGCATCAGCATCAACATCATCATCGCCATCACCATCATCATCACCACCCTCCTCGTCCTGCTCCTCATCCTCCACCTCCGTATCGTCCTCAGCATTATCCCCCTCGCAACCAGCGCACCCTCGGGCCGCGAAGGAATAGCGGCAGAAAACGATGTGCCCGCCCTGGGCCCGAGGACCATCAAAAACCAGTTCGGGATGCGAAACGGCTCAGGGGGGGGGGGGGGGGGGGGCAGGCCTCTGGGGAGCCACGTCATTGAAAGAGCAGGACGTCGGATGTCCACTGGTTGAATAGGCCTTCCATGATGATGAAGATAATGAGGATACTGATGATGATCAGCATCATCATCATCATCATCATCATCATCATCATCATCATCATCATCATCATCATCATCATCATCAGCATCAGCATCATCATCATCATCATCATCATCAACATCATCAGCAACATCATCATGCCGACGACGCGGTTAATGATGATGATGATGATGATGAGGATGAGGGTGATGATGATGAAGATCAAGATGAGGATGTATGCGGATGATTGCGTTGTTGCTGCTGATGACTCTGGGGATGATGTGGATTATGATGGTGCGGTGATGATGGTGAAGGAGCGGATACTGATGATGGTGATGATGATGATGATGATGGTGATATTGATGCTAATGATGCTGAATGACAATGATGGTGATGACATGATGGAGGTGATAGAGATGGTGGTAGTGATGGGATGATGATGATGACGATGATGGTGGTGGTAATGGTGATGATGAATACAACGATGGTGATGATGATGAGGAGGATGATGGACAGGATGATGATGAAGGCGATGGTGGTGATGACGATGATGAGGATGATCATGATGACGGTGATGAGGATGATGATTATGTTGATGATATGGCGACGGTAAAGGTGATGATGATGATGATGACGATGATGATGATGGTGATGGTGATGATGACGATGATGACGATGAGGATGAGCATGATATGATGATCCTGAGGATGATGACCATGAGATGCTAATGGTGCAACTGGTGATCATGAGGATGATGATGATCATCATCATGACGATGGTGGTGATGACAGTGATGATGAGGATGATGGCGGTGATGATGATGATGATGATGATGATGATGATGATGGCGATGACGATGATGACGATGATGACGATGATGATGATGATGATGATGACGGTGAAGCGGATGAGGATTATGATAAGGACAATATGGCGACGATAACTGTGATGATGATGGTGGTGGCGATGATTAGACGCTCATGAGAAGCAGATCCCTGTGGCACGACACTGAGAAAACCAGGCGGTCGCCAAAGGGGCAGGGTGAAAAGTGTCAGACACGCTAAATGCATTACGAATGCACTGACTTACACCATGTCAGAGCGACAAGGAAACTCAAGAGGGGAACAAACGACCGCCGCAAAGAGAGAAAGAGAGAGAGAGAGAGAGAAAGAAAGAAAGAAAGAAAGAGAGAGAGGGAGGGGGGGAGGGGGGAAGGGGGCGGCGCGGCGGCGCAGGCGCGACGGCGAAGGCGAGACGCGCGTCTCCTCTGGGGTCCACGCCATCAGCACCCAATCGCGGTCGCCTGGCGGGGGACGCACGAAGGAGGGGTCGAGGGAAGGAGGAGGGACCCTGACCTCCTGCCGTCGTGGAAGAACCAACATAAATCAAAGCGAGGCGTTCGGCCACCTTCGGAATGCTGGGACCACCGGGAGGAACCTGGAGGGAGTTAGAGGAGGCGTGATGGCGAGGGGAAGGCAAGGCGGGACGACCGGGGAGGGACGAGGGAGGAGAAGGAAAGGTACTGCTTGCCGGAGGCAGCTGGCAACCCCAAGCAACAGCAAGCCCGGATCGAGAGCCGGGCCGGAGACAGCCGCGCGGGAGGCCTCCGGTGCCCGACGCCCCGCCTCACCGCCAGGAGCACGCGGCGTCCCGAAGAGAGTCTGCCTGCCCCCAGACTGCAGAGGGCACGAGCGTGAGGTCTCGCCTCCGCAAAAGGCCCCGCGGTGCCGAGAGAGCACCGCGCCGCCGCCGACGCGGCGGGGCACGGCAACGAGACGCGGGCCGGACCAGCTCAAACAGCCACGGCGCCGCCCTCGCGGCCCACACGCGGCGCCGCGCTCGGGCCACGGGGCCGCCGCCCCGGCCCACGAGGCCTCCCGCCGGCCCTGCAGGCGGGGGGGGGGCGCTGAGCCCCGTGGACGACCAGGCGGGGGCCACCTGGCCCGACTTGGCACGGCACGTCACGTGTGAGGGTTGCGCCGAAATCGGAATGGAACTGCACGCCAACTCTGCCACTGGGGCCTTCGGCAGGGCGCCCTGTGGGGTCACGTCACGTGTGAGGGTTGCGCCGAAATCGGAACGGAACTGCATGCCAACTCTGCCACTGGGGCCTTCGGCAGAGCGGCCCAGAACCACTCACGCGGCCCCCTTCCCAAAGGAAGGGGCCCCAGGACACACCAATAGATACGCACAGATAAAAGGATTCCCCCTGTTTTCCTGTATTTTCTGGGTTTCTGTCTTCCCGACCACTTCCCGTATTTTCCCATATTTTCTGGGGAATCGAGGATTACTTGTGTCTGTGTGTTTCTTTTCCTCCTGACCAAAGAGCGCCGCGTGGCGCGCATCCGTGAGCCACCGCCCGCCCACCAGGTGGCGCCGGGGGGGGGGGGGGCCCGAGTGCAGCACACTGGCCATTGGAGGCTGCTGGAGGGTCTGGAAGTGGCTGGGCTCCCGGAAAATCGGCCAGGAAAGGGGAGGAAGCCAGATCAGCTCAAAATCAGCCCCCCAACCCCTCCCGGGGTCCATCTGCTGCAGTTGCTAGTCGGGTCCGTCTATGACGGCCCAAGACCCGAAAGCGGCTCGGAGACCGCAGGACCCCCCCCCCCCCAAAAAAAACATCCCGACCCAGGACCTCGAACCTGCCCGCCCTCCTCGCATCGCTATCGCTCGGACGTCCATTTCCCGTGCATTCTTCGGTTTCGTGCGTGTTTTTTTGTTGCTCGATGGTCCAGGATGGTCCTCCACGGTTTCGCCGAGGAAAAAAATGCACACGTCCGAGCGATGCCAGGTCGCTGGCCAGAACCGGTGCTGGGCCACCTCGGGCCCCCCGACGGCTCCAGGACCCGAGCGCAGCTCCATTTTGATACACCGGCCTGGGGCGGGCAGGCCACCGGCGTGCCCAGAACCCCGACGTACAGGGCAGGTTTTGATACATTGGATTTTAAACATGCAGGATTTTTAATACATGATTGAGAAATGAATAAATGTATGCATGAACTCATCGTTGTTTTTAGAACTAAATCCCTGCATTTTTTATACATGATCCGCACGCGGAGCATGTGTTAAAAACGGCACTGCACGTCGACCCCCAGAAGTCCGGACCCTTTCCCCCTGACCGGCTTCTCGTCCTGAGTCGTTGTTTGACGCTCCCGAGGCCCGGTGAGGGCCCCTGGAGGCCGAAGATTCGGAAAAACCTCCCGTCAATATTTTGTCATGACTCGAGGGCGTCTGGGTGCTACCCGCCGCACCGACCACCCCCCCGATCCCAGGTGGTTTTGAGCAGGCTCGAGCTTCCTGAGGGGCGCCGCGCGGGCGCTGGCCCAGCCCGCCGACCTCAGCCCTGGGGGCAAGGAGAAGGGAGGGAAGAAGAGGGAGGAGGAGGAGGAGGAGGAGGAGGAAAAGGAGTCGGGAGAGAGAGAGAGAGACAAAAAAAGAGAGAGAGAGAGAGAGGCGCACGAAGGCGAGGACGAAGAGGACAAGGCCATCGGCCAGCCAGCTGCGCCTGCCCGCCCGAGGAGGCGAAACGGAAGGAGGAAAGGGGAGGACGACAAAAAGACGGAGGAGGAGGAGGAGGAGGAGGAGGAGGAGAAGGAGGAGGAGGGGAGGGGGGGAGGGGAGGAGGAGGAACAAACAGGGAAGAAGCGGAAGGAGCGCAGGACGACGTGGAGATAGAAGGCGGCAGCGAGGACGGGGGCGTCTGCACCACTGTCGCGGCCGCCCGATGGAAGAGGAGAAGAACGAGGATGCCGAGCCAGGTGCGCCCGCGCGCCGTACCTGGCAGCCTGCCCGCCTGCCCCATCCCCCCAATCCCTTCCGATGGCGCTGGCACCTCTGTGTTCGAGGGCGCGCGTCATACAGTAGAACTGGACTGCCAGCGGGGACCCCCTCTTGTGTCTTGCGCCACCAACGAGGGGGCGGCTGCGTACAGTGGAAGAGGAACAGGAAGGGGCGGAGGAAGGAGGAGGAGGAGACACAGGAGGCAAATGACGAAGAGAAGGGAGGACAGGAGTAGAAGGAGGCGGAGGAGGAGGGAAGATAAGGAGGAGGAGGAGGAGGAGGAGGAGGAGGAGGAGGAGAGGACGAGGAGGAGGAGGAGGAGAAGGAGGAGGAGGAGGAGGAGAGGTGGGAGGAGAGGAGTACGAGGCGAATGAAATGGAGGATGGGAGAGAAGGAGGAGGAGGAGGAGGAGGAGGAGGAGGAGGAGGAGGAGGAGGAAAGAAGGAGGAATAGAAGGAGGAATAGGAGGACGGGGACAAAGAAAACAAAAAAAGGCGTGCGCCCCAAGCCGCGACCGTGTAAAGGGAACGGCTGCAGCAGGTCCAAATCGGCACGGCGGGGAACGGGCGAACCTCGTCGCACCTGCCAGGACTTCCTTCCGCGACAGATCTCGCGCGCCGCCTTACCCTCGGTTTCCTCCTCATGTTCCTGCTCATTATCCAACTCCTCATCCCCCTCCTCCTCCAACTCCTCCTCCTCCTCCTCCCTCCTCCTCCTCCTCCTCCTCCTCCTCCTCCTCTTCCTCCTCATCATCATCATAAGCAGAAGGACCATCACCATCACCATCACCATCACCACCATCATCCTCAGCAGCAGCATCAGCAGCATCGAAATCAGCATCATCATCATCATCATCATCATCATCATCATCATCATCATCATCATCATCATCATCAGTATCGTCATCAGCATCATCACCAACATCACCATCACCATCACCATCACCATCACCACCATCATCCTCATCATCAGCAGCATCATTAACATCATCAGCATCATCAGCATCACAGCAGCATCGTCAGCATCACCACCACCATGATCAGTACACACACCACCACCACCACCATCACCACGACTACCAGCATCAGCATCATCACCATCATCATCACCATCATCAGCAGCAACATCACCATCACCATCCGCATAATCATCATCAGCAGCAGCAGCAGCATCAGCATCATCCATAAGTATCGTCAGCAGCATCGTCATCATCACCATCATGATCGTCATCATCATCATCATCATCATCATCAGCATCATCATCATCTGAACCATCAGCATCACCAGCGACAGAGTCCTCATTATAGTCAGTAGCACCATCATGCTGATGATCTGCATCATCATGCTCATCAGCATCATCATCAGCATCATCAGCATCGATCATGAGCAACAGCATCATCATCAGCATCATGATCGTCGTCATCATCATCAGCAGCATGATCAGTATCGGCATCGTCATCGTCATCGTAATTGTCATCGACATCAAAATCGTCATCATCATCGTCACCATCATCATCAGCGGCGTGGTCAGTAGAATGATCGTCATCATAATCATCATCATCATCATCATCGTCATCATCATCATCATCATCAGCATCATCATCCTCATCATCAGCATCAGCATCATCAGAATGGTCAACATCATCAGTAGCGTCATCATCGACAGTGGCATCAACATCATCATCATCAGCATCATCACATCCACCATCATCACCCTTGCAATCATCAACCGCATCAGCATCGTGATCATCCTCATATCGTCATTTGCAGCATCATCATCGTCGTCATCGTAACCGCCATCATCATCATCATCATCATCATCATCAGCATCATCATCATCATCATCATCATCATCATCAGCATCATCATCATCATCATCATCATCATCATCATCATCATCATCATCATCATCATCATTATTATTACTATTAGTATTATTATTAACGTCATCGTCATCATTGTCATCATCAGCATCATCACCATCAACTCCATCACAATCAGTATCATTATCATCAGCAGAAGCATCATCATTACCATCCGAATCCCCATCAACATCCTCATGTTCATCAGCAGCATCCTTATCATCGTCATCATCATCATCACCATCATCATCATCATCATCATCGTCATCATCATCATCATTTTCATTACTATTATTGGTAGTAGTAGTAGTAGTAGTAGTAGTAGTAGTAGTAGTAGTATTCTTATCGGCATCATCATCACCATCATCATCATCATCATCATCATCATCATCATCATCATCATCATCAGCACCATCCTCGTCATCATCGTCATCATCACCACCATCATTATCATCAATATCATCAGAACCATCGCTAATACCATAATCGTCCTCGTTACCCTGGGGGGGGAAGGGGGGGGCAAAGCGAGCCAAACACACCCTAAAACCTAAAACCTGGTGCTCCTGACTCCCCCTCCCCCCTCCTCCTCCTCCCTCCGCCCTCCTCGATCCAACGACGACAGCGAGGACGAAAACGACCGAAAACAACGACCGACGACGAGGACGACGGCGACGACGACGACGACTGCAGCGGCAGCGTCGGCGGCGGCGGCGGCGGCAGCGGCGACGACGACGACACCGACGACGACGACGACGACGACAACGAGGACGACGAAAGACGACGACAATGACAACAACGGACGACGGACGACGGACGACGGACACCGGACGACGGACGACGAGCGACGGACGAAGGATGACGGTTACAGGACGACGACGGACACCGGACGACGGACGACGACGGACGACGACGACGACGACGACTACGACGACGACAACGACGACGGCTGCGACCACGACAACGACGCCGATAACGGCCGAAAACGACGATCGACGAGGACGAGGACGACGGACGACGGACGACGCAGAACGGACGACGGATGACGGACGACGACAACGGACGACGGCGACGACGACGACGACGACAACGATAACGACGAGTACGACGACGACGACGATGACGACGACGACGACGACGACGACGACGACGACGACGACGACGCCGGCGCGCGCCCGGCGCGGGCGCGATGCTGTCGACGCCCTGCAGGCGCACGAGGACGATGCAGGGCACGGTGGCCTGCGCGGAGCACCCCCGCAGACGAGAGCCGCGACGGGCGGGCCGAGCGTCGCCGTCGCGCATCGAGCTCCTCCATCTTCCTGCTCCTTGTCCTGATCGACTCTCTCCAGTCACTCCTTCTCCTCCTCCTCCTCCTCCGCCTCCTCCTCCTCCTGCTCCTCCTCCTCCTCCTCATCCTCCTCATCCTCCTCCTCCTCCTCCTCCTCCTCCTACAAGTCGTGAATACGTCAGGGTCAGGTAGAGTCCGCCGGGAGTGTGAGGCTGAGCCCGTGTCGCCCGGGGAACGCTCGGGAGGGGGAGGCAGCGATGCGATGCGATGCGACCACCGTTGCGGACAGCGTCCGGGCCTAGAGCAGACCAGGTGGGTGAGGCCATGGCCTCTAGGATCTGAGGTGTCTGGATTCATGCAGTGCGAGACATGTAAAAAGTTAGGAGGAGAGGGGGAGGAGGAGGAAAAGAAGATGGAGAGGATGAGAGCCGTCGGTGAGCATCAAGCCACGTGCCTTCGCTGGGCACCAGGCTGCAGCACCAGCCACGACGCGCGGCCTGCAGCTGCCGGCGAGACCTGCGCAGGCCGAGATTGAGCGCCCCGACCAACAAGCTGAGTTGGAGTGGGCACGCTCGGGCGATACACGTCGGTCGGAAGAAGTAGGAAAAAAAATGAAGTAGGACGGCGGATAAGGTGGACTGGGTCCAGGCCCTCCCAGAGAATAACAAAACACAGCAAAATCATGCCGATCCTTGAAGTAGGAAGGCGCTTGAAGTAGATTGGGATCTGGAAACCCAAAAATACCTACTTTCAACGACCGGCGTGCAGGGGGCAGGCTGAATCGTCTGCGAGGCGGAGTGCATCGGGCCCCCAGTCGGCCCTTCTGAGTGCCACGTGGCTCTGCCGCTTCCTCGTCCAGCTCGGGGCCGGTCCGCCTGGCGAGAGGTGGCCGCGAGGTCTTCGGGGCGTGCCCTCTGGTCTCTCGGTGGCGCTACAGCGAAAACATATAGGAAGGACGCGTGGTAAGGACGCAAGACCCTTGGAGGCCGAAGTTGGGTCTTTTTAGGGCGGCGGGCGACAAGTGATAATGGCAAGGACGGGCCTCAGAGGCAAGGACCCAAGGGTACCCTTGAAAAAGTCGCTTGTCCTTACTGTGCGCGTGGACTGTACCTGATCCCACCCGATTCCTCCTCCAGTCAGCCCTCCTCCTCCAACTATTCCTTCGGTCGTTCCTCATCCCGCGTTTCCTCCATCCCCTTTCGTTTTACTCCCCCAAACCATACTTGCACCTATGGGTTCCCGCCTGCTTTCTAAGGAGCTGGGTTCCGTTGTCGGGTCTGCCGCCTTGCGGTCGCCGTCGCCGCCCCGTCGCCGCCTCGTCGCCGCCCGTCGCATGGTCTCCATTGTCGGGTCCGCCGCCTTGTAGTCGCCGTCGCCGCCCCGTCGCCGCCCCGTCGTCGCCTCGTCGCCGCCCGTCGTCTGGGTTCCGCTGTCGGGTCCGCCGCCGTGTCGTCGCCGTCTACGCTCCGTCGCCGCCTTGCTTCGCATTGACGTGTGTTGCCTCGCATTGCTTCGCATTGCTCAACATCGGCTAGATCACATCGCTTACACCACACAAACATGTACAAACGTGTACATCGTGTACCACATCGATGCTCCGTTCTGGAGAGAGAATAAGTTCTGCCACCCTCCCCCCAGGGCTAAAGACCCCTTGGGAACCGATGCGAAACGCATAAGATTCTGACCCAATGTGCGTCCGACCTCTGAATTCATATTATCCCAGCATAACCGGTCGGTATCGGTCCCCCCTGCCACCCTCTGGAAAAAACTACACGCGCACACTCGCTGATCAAACAAATCAGAAGTTGTCAGGAAACCCTTGCAAACAAAAAAAAAAAAACAAGTGCACACGCGCACGTCGTCGCGCGCGCATGCCGAAATCCTTCAAAAACCGTCGGTTTCGGAAGGAATTCAAAATCGAGTGTCTAAAAAACATACAAAAACACATGGTTTCGCAACGCGGATGCTCAATAAAAGCGTAAGCGCTCTCTTGCGTCGTCGTCGTCGTCGTCCTCGCTCCTCCCTCGTCGGCGTCGGCGCCGTCGTCGTCCTCTGGCTTTCCTTGTCGTCGTCGCCCTCCTCCTCTTTGGCGTCGTCGTCGTTTCCGTCGTCGTTGTCGCCATGGTCGTACTTCCTCCTCCCTCGTCGTCGTCGTCGTCCGTCGTCGGCGTCTAGTCGTCGTCCCTCTTATTTCATCGCCGTAGTCGTCGTCTTCCCTCCTCCCTCGTCGGTGTCGTCGTCGACGTCGCCGTCCTCCCCCCTTCTTCGTCGTTCGCGTCGTCGCCGTCCTCCCTCCTCCCTCGTCGCTGTCATCCTTGTCGCCGTCGTCGTCCTCCCTCCTCCCTCGTCGTCGTCGTCGTCGTCTTCGTTGGCGACGTCGTCGTCGTCGTTTTCGTCGTCATCGTCGTCGTCGTCGCCGTCGGCGACGTCGTCGTCGTCGTCGGCGTCGTCGTCGTTGTCGGCGTTGTCATCGTCGTCAGCGTCGGCGTCGTCATCATCGTCGTCGTCGGTGTCGTCGTCGTCGTCGTTGTCGTCGTCGCCGAAGTCGTTGGAGATGTCGTCGGTGTCGTCGTAGTCGTTGTCGGCGGCGTCGTCGTCGTCGTTGTCGCTGTTGTCGTCGGCGTCGGTGTCGCTGCCAACTGCCATTTGGTACCCACCGCCACGGTCTTCAGAGGTCGTGCGACCAAGTTGCGGGTGGGAGGGTGGGATGTTTGCACGAGCAGTGAAAGGACAGCTTCAAGACAGTCAAAGTGAATTGCACAGCATGGACTGCACCACACCGGTTGCACTACATGGTATATACAACATATCATTGCACCACCCATATTATCCTGTCTTAACAAGAAACAGGTTCTACCACCTTCCCCCCCGGGGTTAGAAACTCTTCTTTTCGTATTGCCATGGCCATATGATTCTGCCCCGCCGTGCATCCGAACTGTGAATCCATACTATCCCAGCCAGGCCGGTAGTGGTTCCCATTCGTTTCGTTTGCAAAACGTACTATGCGCGCGCACTGGTTTATCAAATATCATACGTTTACAAAAAATGTTGCAAACAAATGACGAAATGCACACGCGCACGTCGCCGCGCGCGCATGCCGAAATCCTTCAAAAACCGTCGGTTTCGGACGGATGTCAAAACCGAGTGCTAGAAAAAACGTACAAAATACCGGGTTTTGCAACATGTTTGCATGCGCGTTTTATATACACAAAAACACTTGCGCACGCACTCTTGCGAAATCTTAAGGAAGCCAAGCGTTTTTCAACATTTCGGCAAATTATACCGAACGGGCTTCGCGCGCACGCATGTCGAAATCGGTCGAACGCGGTTGCGCGCGTGTGGGGGGGGGGGGGGGGCACGATCCGTGTTAAATAATACCATGCGAGCTTCTTTCGCGCGTCTGCCGCGCGAGCATTTCGAACTCCTTCCAAAACTTCCATCACCGACGCGACCACGCCGTCATCGTCGTCAGCGTGATCGGCATCGGTGCCGTGGCTGCCCCGTCACCAGCATCGCTACTGTCATTTTCGTGTCGACGTGGCCATGATACCGCGCCCGCCCAAGTCGCCGACTCGCACTTAAGTGCCCGCTGGGATGTGCCGAGCGGTCAGCGCCACAGCGTTCGCGTCGGTCGCGCCAAACTAGCTGGCCGTTGCGAGCGCGAGCATGCGCGGGCTAGCGCGGCCGCAGAGATGCGCCAGCCAACACCCAGCACTCATCGCAACCGCCGCCGCATGAGTTTTGCAAACCAAGTTGCGGGTGGGTGGGTGGGATGCTTGCGCGAGCAGTGGAGTGGACAACTCACTGCGAACAGACACGAATTGCACCACATAGACTACATCACGCCAATTTCCCTTTCCAGAAAAGAAATAGGTTCTACCACCCTTCCCCCCAAGACTTAGCCATTCACCAGGAAAACACGCAAAACACATGTGATTCTGACCCAAATGTCCATCCTACCTGTGAATCCGTACTATCCCAGCCAGGACGGTATGGCCCACCACTCGGTTTCCTGCCAGAAAAGTATGCGCGCACCCGTTTATCAACAATCATAGGTTTTGAAAAATCCCTTGCGCGTCGTCGCGCGCGTATGCCTAACTTCAAAAATCGTCGGTTCCGGAAGGACTTTACAATCGAGCGTCAAAATTCACATAAAAAATCGCAACACGGATGTTCAACGAAAGCGTGCGCGCGCGCTCGTGGGGATTCGTAAGAAAACAGCACGTCTTTCAACATGTTCATAAAATGCTACCAAGCGGGCTTCGCGCGCGCGCATGTCGAAATCGTTCGAGCGCCCTTGCGCGAGTGCTGGGGTGGCAAGATCCGTATCAAACCACACCATGCGAGCCACTCTCGCGCGTCTGCCGCGCGCGTATTTCGAACCCTTTTTCCAAAACCTTCACCACCGACGCGAAGACGCCGTCATCGTCGCCGGCGTGATCAGCATCGGCGCCGTCACTGGCTGCCCCGTCGTCGCTGTCAGCATCGTGGCCAGCATCGCTGCTACCATCATCGTGTCCACCGTTGCCGACGTGGCCATGATACCGCGCCCGCCCAAGTCGCCGACTGGCACTGAAGTGCCCGCTGGGAAGAGCGCAACCGCGGCCGCGTCGGTCGCGCCAAACATGCTAGCCGCTGCGCGCGCGAGCATGCGCGGGCTAGCGCGGCCGCGGGGACGCACCAGCCAACACCAAGCACTCATCGAAACCGCCGCCGTGTGGGGTTTGCAAACAAAGTTGCTGGCGGGTGGGTGGGATGATTGCGCTGACAGTGGAGTTGACGACTCACTGCGAAAAACCCATGAATTGCGCCACATAGCTTGCACCACATCGCCGTCTTGTTTTACATTGCTTTGATGTGCCTAACACATATTGCACCGCATAGCTTGCACCAGACGCACTGAATTACATAGATTGAACCACATCGCTTGCACCACATATATTGCACCACATGCATTGTCAATAGTGCACCACCTAGACTGCACCACATAGCTCACTCCTCATAGACATCTACTGATTGAACTAGATTGCACCACATGGGCGGCATCACCTAGTACGATAGAGCATACTAATTGGGTCCCACGCTGGCTATACATGAATAACTACTCCCCGTCGCACCGCCCGACGTGTCGGTGAGGCAGACTGGGCGTTCCGCCTGAGACCTCCACGCCATGTGTTGAAGTTCCAGGGATGGTGTTCAGGCACGACTCAAGACCATGCGTTGAAATCAAAAGAACGGTGTTTTGGCAGAATGAAAGATTATCAGACGGTTGTCTTTCAATCGGGCACTTCCCGCAATCAAAATGAGTTCTTGCAGCGACATATGGAAAGGAAACTTGGGCGCAAAGTTTTTATCGTTGCATCGTTGATGATTCTCGGGTTTGCACTGGACCTCGCCTACCTCCTCCTCCTCCTTCTCAGAATCATCATCATCATCAGTATCAGCATCATCAGCATCAGCATCACCATCAGCATCATCATCACCAGCATCCTCATCTTCATCCTCATTATCATCCTCATCCTCATCCTCATTATCATCCTCATCCTCATCCTCGTCCACATCATCAGCATCATCACCCTCCTGCTCCTCATCCTCGTCATCATCATCCTCATCCACATCTTCATTATCCTCCTCATCCAAATCCTCATCCTCATCCTCATCCTCATCATCCTCATCCTCCTCATCATCACCACCATCATCAGCATCGTCTGCATCATCATCAGCATCAGCAGCATCATCATCATCATCATCATCATCATCATCATCATCATCATCATCATCATCATCATCATCATCATCATCATCCGCATCATCAGCATCATCATCAACATCATCATCCTCATCATCCTCATCCTCCTCATCATCCTCGTCATCCTCATCATCCTCATCATCATCATCATCATCATCATCATCATCATCATCATCATCATCATCATCATCATCATCATCATCATCCACCACGCTGCTCCACGTTCCTCCTCCTCCTCCAGCAGTTCCTCTCGTGTGCTCACGGACGCGCCCCAGAGCCTGCGAGCTTCCACGGGCCCAACCTGGACAACGGCCGTGCCCTGGAGAGCCACATGCAGCATGAAGAAGGTGGTGGACCCCGCGTGACGCAGCACACCACACGTCATCGCCTCTCTGATTGGTCGTGTGGACACTCGGCGAGGGGGGAAGAGGGGGTACAGTCGGACTCGATTGGAGAGGACACGCGAGAGGACACAAGACCCTTCCGAGGGGCGCATTGCCACAGGAATGTAGGAAGCATGGGTCGCGAGACACACGGCACAAGGGTACCCTTGATTTGGCAGGGTCGACCTGCTAATCCGGGCCGACTGTAACGCGACCACCCAGGGAGAGCCCAGCCAGGCTGTGGCAGCTCGCCGCAGCAACGGTCGCAGCCTCGGCGCCGCGATCACGGGGCCGCCGCGGCAGACGGCGGGCGAGCGCCCAGTCGCGGTGGCGGCAGCCGCGGCTCCGGCAGCAACGCGCCAGGGACTGGAGGCGGCCGTGAGAAGGGGCCGGACCCAACACGTCGTCAGCACAACCGGGAGGACGCGGCTGGACGACAGCCACCGATTCCCAACCCTCGCTCGGCAACGTCGAATACGACGACGACGGCGTGGACGACAACGGCGACGGCGACGGTGGCGGCGGCGACAGCGGAGGCCGCCGGCGGCGACGGCGGCGCGGACGGAAACGACAACGACGGCGAAGATGCGGGCGACGGCGTGGACAACCACGGCGACGGCGACGGCGGCGCCAGCAACGACGACGACAGCGACGACGACGACGGCGACGACTGACGACGACTGACGACGACTGACGACGACGACGACGACGACGACGACGGCGACGGCGACGACGACGACGATGACGATGACAATGACGACGACGACGACGACGACGACGACGCCGACCGCGGCGAAAGCGGCGACGACGACCGAAGACGACGCCGGTGACGACGACGGCGACGACTCACGACGACGGCGGAGGCGGCGGCGAAGGCGGCGGCGGACTGCGGCGACGACGACGACGACGAAGACGACGGACGACGGACGACGACGACGACGACGCCGACCGAAGAGAAGGGCGAAAAACAAAGAAGAGGACGACGAAGACGACGATGACGATGACGACGACCAGGACGACGACGACGACGACGACGACGACGACGACGACGACGACGACGGCGGCGACGGCGGCGACGACGACGAAGACGGTGACAAAGACGACGACGAACGACGACGACGGCGAAGGCGGCGACGGCAGCGACGGACGGCGGCGGCGGCGGCGGCGACGACGACGACGTCGACGACGACGACGACCGAAGAAGAGGGCGAGGGCGACGACCGACAACGACCTAAGAGGAGGACGAGGGCGACGACGACGACAGCCGCGACGACTGACGACGACGACGACGACGACGACGACGACGACGACGACGACGACGACGACGACGACGGCTGCGGCGGCGGCGGCGGCGACGATGGTGACGGCGGCGGCGGTGCCCCACACCCCCAAGGCAGTCCTCAAGCAGCGCGCAGATGGCGCCAAAGTCCTAGCGGCGCGCTGGTCGCCCGCCGACGCCGCCCCCAAGCCGTCGCCAGCGTCGGCGTCGTCGTCGTCAGTCGTCGTCGTCCTCGTCGTCGTCGTCCGTCTTCCATCGTCGTCCTTGTCGAAGACGGCGTCATCTTCGGTCGTCGTCCGTCGTCGTCCTGGTCGTCGTCGCCGCCGTCGTCATCGTCGTCATCCTGGTCGTCATCCTGATCCTCGTCCTATTTGTCATCGGCGTCGTCAGTCGTCGTCTTTCCTCGTCGACGTCGTCGTCATCATCCTCGGGGTCGTAATCGTCGGCGTTGTCGTCGTCGTCGTCGTCGTCGTCGTCGTCGTCGTCCTGGTCGTCGTCGTCGTCCTTGTTGACGTCGGCGTCTTCATCCGTCGTTGCCCGTTGTCGTCCTCGTCGTCGCTCTCGTTTTCGTCGTAGTCATCGTCGTCGTCGGTCGTCGTCCTCGTCCTCGTCCTCGTGCTGTTTGTCATCAGCATCGTCAGTCGTCGTCCTTCGTCGTCGTCGTCCTCGTCATCGTCGTCATCGTCCTCGTAGTCGTCGTCGTCGTCGTCGCCGCCGTCGTCGTCGTCTTCGTCATCGTCGTCCTCGTCCTCGTCCTCGTCCTCGTCCTCGTTGTCGTCGAAGTCCACGTCCTCGTCGTCGTCGTCCTCGTCGTGCCGTCGTCGTCGTTGTAGTCGTCGTCAACCTCCTCCTCTTTGTCCTCGTGCTCGTTGTACGTTCCCAGATGCCCCCTTCCACCCATTGAAGCCCCTGGAGGTCCCGGGAAAAAGGTCCAACAGAGATACGGGTACCCCCTCGTGGTCGACCCGACGGGAGGGAGGGAGGGAGGGAGGGAAGGAGGGAGGGGAGGAGGAGGAGGAGGAGGAGGAGGAGGAGGAGGAGGAGGAGGAGGAGGAGGAGGAGAAGGAGGAGGAGAAAGGGGATCCCCAGCACCCTGTGAGGAACCCAGAGGAGCAGGAGCCAGCAGGAAGGCCGTCCTCGACAAAAACTGCGGGCGCAGGCGTCGACGGGAGCACGTGACGGACCCCCACCAAGGGGGAATATATCCTAGGACGAAGCCAGGACGAGCATAAAATCGGTTGAGGATAAATCGAGGATCTCTGAGATCTGGCGGCTCTGGAAGACGCCTCGGGCGCAGAGGCCTCATCGGAGCGCCCCCGGAGCGCTCTGAGCGCGTTCCGGATCGCTCCGGGGCGGATTTGTCCTCGTCCTGGCCCCGTCCGACATTCCTCAGGAGTGGAAAACAATACCACCAGCAACAGAATGACCCTGGCTGCCCACCGAGGCAGCGGCCGCGCTCCCAGGCATGTTCCTCGCCCTGGGACCTCCTGGAGGCCATTCATCACCACGGCGGGGCCCCTCCTCCTCCTCCTCCTCCCCCTCCTCCTCCTCCTCCTCTTCTTCTTCTTCTTCTGCTTATTCTGCTTAGTATGCTTCTTATTATTAACAGCATTGTTATTATTATTATTATTATTAGTAGTAGTATTAGTATTAGTATTATTATTATGATTAATATGATTATTATTATTACTATTATTATTACTATTAGTATTATCATTATTATTATTATGATTATTATTACTATTATTATTGTTATTCCTCTTATTCCTCTTCTTCCTCTTCTTCCTCTTCTTCTTCCTCCTCCTCCTCCTCCTCCCTTTCTCCTCCCCCTCCTCCTCCTCCTTCTCCTCCTCCTCCTCCTCCTCCTCCTCCTCCTCCTCCACGGCCGAAGCTGCTTCGCTCGGGCTCGGCGGTCCTCTACGAAGCTGCCATGCTCGGCCACGGTCTCCTCGAGGCAGAGAGGGGCTCAATCACATCGCTGGCGTCGCCGCCGCCGCCGTCGTCGCCCCACTCGCTATCGTCGCCGCGGCCTTCGACGTCGTCGCCGCAGCCATCGTGGGTCATCGCAAACGCTAGCATCAGTCTCCTGAGCTATGAGAATGCAGGGATCGGCTGAAGTCGCCTTCTCTCAGACAAAGGTCGATCAAATCGCTCGCACAAATCGATCGAACCGCGTTCTCTCTCTCTTTCTCTCTCTCTCGTTATCTGTTTGTTTGGTTATCTCTCTCTCTCACTCTCTGTCTCTCTCTCTCTCTCTCGCCAAAGAGGTACGAGTGGCATTAGACACACATGTGTATACACACAACCGCATATGTCAACAGATGTACGCATGTATACAGATATCCATATATATATATAAATATATGTGTATGAGTGCCCCTCTTCCTCTCTCTCTCTCTCGCCTTCTCTCTCTCTCTCTCTCTCTCTCTCTCTCTCCGACGTGTATTTACAAACACAAATGTGCGTGTGTGTTTGTGTTGTGGTGTGTTATGTGTTATGTGTTGTGAGTGTTGTGAGTGTTGTGTTGTGTTGTGCTGTGCTGTGCTGTGCTGTGCTGTGCAGTGCTGTGCTGTGCTGTGCTGTACTGTGCTGTGCTGTGCAGTGTTTGACGTGTTGTGTTGTGTTGTGCTGTGCTGTGTTGTGTTGCGTTGCGTTGGGTTGCGTTGTGTTGCGCTGTGTTGTGTTGTGTTGTGTTGTGTGGTGTAGTGTGGCGTGGTGTGGTGTGCTGTGCTGTGTTGTGCTGTGTTGTGTTGTGTTGTGAGGTGTTGTGTGCGTGCGTGTGTGTGTGTGTGTGTGCGAGTGCGTAAATATGTGCGTGTGCGTCGCCCGGCCCCCTTGGGGTGCAAGCCTCCGACAGATCCTGTGCTACATGTGGTGGCCCCTCGTCTTGCTGCTGTCGTCGTCCTCCTCCTCCTCCTCCTCCTCCTCCTCCTCCCCCTCCTCCTCCTCCTCCTGGTCCTCGTCCTTTTCCTCCTCCTCCTGCTCGTCCTCCTCCTCCCTGTCCTACCTTTGGCATCAGTGGAGGTGTCGTCTTCCCCGGCTCTTGATTTTGGAGGGCGCCCCCCCCCGCCGCCGCGCCAGGGACCCCGCCCGGGCCCGCGGCTCCACGGAGGAGTGATGCCTCTTGCCCTCCGCGACTTGTCCACCGGGAGGGGCCCGCGGCGCCCCGAGAGAACACCGCGGTGGGGGCCAAAATCCTGGCCGCCCGGAGGTTCCCCGGGATCCCTGCTGGAACGCGACCAGCACGGCAGGGAGGGCCCAAGGGGCCACGGAGATGGCAGCGGGAGGTTCCGAAGAGAGCCCAAAGACGGCCCAAGGGGGCCACAAGATGACGCATGATGGCCTCAAGACAGCCACAAGGGCCCCCCGAAACGCCACAGGAGGGCCCCGCGAGGGATCCCAAGTACCGGAACCTGTCATTTCCGCTCTCAGTTTGGCAAATCCGCCGACCCTGTCGGCGTGTGTGGGGCGACTGTCCGGTCCCGTCGACGGGGAGCCTTCTTTCGTCCCCTCCTTCCCGTCCTCCTCTCCCGTCGTAGTTTGGGGAACGGGTTCGCAGCTTGAGGGGTTTCCATCCACGTCCTCAGTACGTCAAAGGGAAGCCCCTTCCCTTTCCCTTTGTCCCTTTCCCAGCGGGGGGGGGTCCCGGGGGAGGAGGGGGGGGGTCGCATCGCCTCTGGGGGGTCCTCCTCTCCCACGCTGGTGCTTCTCCGGCGCGCCGGTCCTCCTCGGGCCCTCTTCCCCAGGTGGGGAGGAGTCCCAGGGGGGGGGAGGGGAGTCAAAAACGCATCCGTCCCTGGGGGTTCTCCTCCCCCTCCCCTCTCCTCTCCCACGCTGGTCCTCCTCCGGTCCTCCTCCCCAGGGTGGGGGGGTCCCAGGGGGGAGACCTTTTCCTCCTCCTCCCCCCTCCTCCTCATCTCCTCCTCCTCTTGCTTCTCTCCTCCTCCTCCTCCTCCTCCTCCTCCGCCTCCGCCTCCTCCTCCTCCTGCTGCTCCTCCTCCTCCTCCTCCTCCTCCTCCTCCTCCTCCTCCTCCTCCTCCTCCTCCTCCTCCTGGTCATCGTCGATGTCTTTCAGGGTCGGCTTCACGGGCCGTCATGCCTTCACAATAGTAGCGCTCTGGGACTTCCCGGCTTCCAGGAGCCCAAGACGGCCCGATGCGCCGCCGATCTGGCCCTGAGACAGGCCCAGGGGCCCCCACGAGAACCCCGACGGGCCCCAAAATGGCCGAAGGGCCCCCACGAAGACCGCCAAGAGGGGCCAATCACGGCCCAAGAAGACGCCAAGACGGTCCAAAAGGGCCCCCCCCAAGACGGCCAAGAGGGGCGAAAAACGGCCCAAGAAGGTGCCAAGACGGTCCAATAGCCCAAGAGGGCCCACAGGAGCCCCAAAGAGAGCCCCCAAGTGGCCCCGAAGAGCCCCACGAAGGGCGCCATGTGGGCCCCAAGAGGAAAAAGCGGTGGAGGAAAGCAAGACGAGACGGAGGAGGATGAGGAAGGACAGGAACAAAGAGGAGAAGGAAGTTGTGAGAGAAGATGAAAGGATGCGGAAACAAAAAAAAGGGCACGAAGGAATCGAGGCGAAGGGGGAGGAAGAGGAATCAGGCGAGGAGGAAAGAAAAAAGGAGGGGGGGGAGATCAAAAGGTCGCCCCGCCCAGGCTTCACGCGCTCTGGACGCGGAATCCTCGGAACGAGGCAAGCTCACAAAATGGTTCAGCCTGGGATGCCAGCAGCAGCGGGCGCAGCACTTCATGCACCGAAGACGACACCGAACAACACAAAAGCACGCGTATCCCCCGCCTGCAGATCTCTACTTGTGTTCAGACATGTGTTTGTATAACATAGACATATACGTAGACGTGTGCATGTACACATACCTAAACAGCCAGTACACATGCCCATGTACACGCTTTGGCATGCATGTACCCATGCATGCACACATGAACCTCCATATGTGCGCAGGTATGTATGCACATATAAGATATGTGTATACTTATGTTGGTGTGTATATATTCAAATGAAATACCATATGAAGCACCTGCTTATGAACACATGTGTACATATATACATATATACACATATGCGTATGTATATAAATACACACGCACATACATACATACATACATACATACATACATGCATGCATACATGCATGGATACATGCATACATACATACGAACGTACCATGCAGTCATGCATACATACGTGCATGCAGGCAGGCAGGTAGGCATACCTACTTACATGTATACATACATGCATCTATATACATATGTGTACACATAGACGTGTGCGTTCACCTACACATGTACACGCATATACGCATAAATAATCGTATACGATAACACATGCATACCATGCACACGCAGAGAGCATCTTCCCGAAACGTAAACATGAACACCGACCTAGACATGTGCACATTCCAAAGCATCTACGCATGTCCATACAGTTACCGCTATATATATATATATATATATGTGTGTGCGCATGCATACACACATCCATACGTCCATGCATGCATACGTGCATACATGCAAACACACATACATACAGACAGACAGACAGCCAGCCAACCAGCCAGACAGACAGAAAGACAGACAGACATACATACAAGCAGACATACATACATACACACATACATACATACATACATACATACATGCATGCATGCATGCATACATACATACATACATACCTACATACAATACAATACAATACAATACAATACATACATAACATACAACACATACAACACATACAACACATACAACACATACAATACATACATACAAACATACATACATACATACATACACTACATTACATTACATTACATTACATTACATTACATTACATTACATTACATTACATTACATTACATTACATTACATACATACATACATGCATACATACATATACAATTGTGTATACACATGTGCATGTATATACGTGCGTGTGCGTGTGTACAGATACTATACTTAAGATTGTTCCAAGACGCCCCGGGTGGCCCCGAGACGGCCCAAGATGCTTCCAAGACGCCCCAAGAGGCCTCCCAAAGGCCTCCCAAGAAGGCCTCAAGAGGAAGACATCGTTGATTCCCCTTAGGTGGTTGAAGGATGCGGGCGGTCTCGCCATTTCGGCGTTCCGACACTCCAAGACGGCCCACGAGGCTCCCAACACCACCCCAAAACTGCCCGAGAGGCCTCCAAGAGTGACCCAAGACGGCCGGAGAGCGCCCCAGGACGGCCGAAGAGGCGCCCAAGATGTCCCAAGAGGGCTCCAAGGCGGCCCCAAAAGAGGGAGCACGAGCCGGAAAGCCCAGCCCTCCGCCACAAGAACGGGAGGGAAGCGGAGGGGAGGCGGGAGGAGACGGGAGCGCAGCGGGCTCCCTCAGCACCAGCCTGGGCCGCCTGCTGTCCACCACCACCTTCAGGGCCCGCAGCTTGCCCGAGGCTGCCTCGGTGGCGCCGAGGGGGGAAAAGGAGGAGGAGGAGCAGCAGCAGCGGGAGGAGGGGGAGGAGGAGCAGGAGCAGGAGCAGGAGGAGGAGGAGGAAGAGAGAGGAGGAGCACGGCGAGAAGGACAGGATCGGTGATCGAGGGTCGAGTCTGGGGCTCTGGAGGGGCGAAGGGGAGAAGGGATGGAGCGTGCTGCTCGCGAGGGAGATCGTGCTGGAGCATCGGGAGAGGAGGCGGATCGAATCGGAGAGAGGGGTCTGCAAGAGGGCCGCGGTCGAGGGGGCAGGACTCCCGATCGAAGGTCGAGGCTGCTGGGCGTCAAACAACAGCACCGACAACAACAAAACAACAACAACAACAACAACAACAACAACAACAACAACAACAACAACAACAACAACAACAACAACAACAATCATTTTACCCGAACGCTCAGTGTTCTCCCCAGTGCCAGGATTTTCATGCGACGCCAGCCAATACCCCCACTTCGTGGGGGGGCAATGCAAGCTCTACCAAACATCCACACGACTCTCGGGAACCACCCACACCCAGCTTCCCGCCCTATGACGTCAGGACACTTCACTTCGTGGCGCGCGGACGATCGTGGATACTACACTGGCGTGGAGTACACACCCGCAGAGGTTGATCACTTGTTTGGGCCCCGCATGTGCCCCGCATGGTGCATTTGTTGCGTATGACATACATAGTACAGAGAGACAGAGAGAGAGAGAGAGAGAGAGCAAGACAGAGAGCCAGTGGAGAGAGAGATAGAAAGAGATTCGCCTCATGGGCGCCTCTTGGGGCCATCTTGAGCGCCTCTTGGGGCCATCTTGGGTTTTAAAGATTCATGAAGAGCCCGCGGGTGGATTTTGATATTTTTCGGATGAGAAAGTCTTGCGTTTGCATATGTTTTCGGAACATCGCATCTTGAAATTATTGAAATCACATTATGTTTGGCAGGATTTCGGCACGCGCGCGCGGCGGCCGCGCGCATGTGCACTTCGTGTCATTTTTTGCAAGGGATGGTGGCCCTCGTAGGCTCGCAACCGTTGTTGCAGAAGGTCGAAGCACCTGAAAAGGTTCCTCGCAAAGGCCCTTTTAACAGAAATGTTTAAAATCTGGTGGGTTTCCTAGGAATCCGCAAGAGCGCGCGGAAGGACATTTTGACAATTTTTTCTGAGAAAACCATTGGGTTTTTGATGTTTTTATGTTAAAATCGTTACGAAACCTAAGGTTTTGGAAGGATTTCGTCTTGCGCGCACGAATGTCCACTTTACCTTATTTTTTGCAAGGGATTCTTGCAATTTGATCAAGTAAAAACAAGAATTTTCATTTTCTATTGTTTTTTGCAAGGGAAAACGAGCGTCAACAAAAAACCGGATCCGGAGCTCATCCACTTTTCTGAAGCTTTCGCGAAAAAATGATGAAAATGTAGCTGCGGCCTAGGCGCGGCGCAGAGGTCGCGCACCAGGGGTCCCAACAATAATAATTCTTTAGAAGGAATAATGTTCAACAACAACAACAACAACAACAACAACAACAACAACAACAACCAACAACAACAACAACAACAACAACCACAACCACAACCACAACCAACAACAACAACAGCAACAACAACAACAGCAACAACATCAACAACAGCGACAACGACAGCAACAACGATAATAACCACATCAACGGCAACAACAACAACGACAACAACGACAACAACAGCAGCAACAACATCAACAACAAGAGCCGCAACAACAGCGACAACAACAAGAATGTGATTCAGGCTGTTCGCTCTTACATGTCTGTGTGTCTTAAAATTTTGGAAATCCCAACCCTCGATGCCCGCCCGTTTCGTCTTAGATCGCACCCTATTTGGTGTGGGGGGTATCTTCCTTGGCGGCCACTCACGGACTGAAGTGCGAGAAAATCTCGAGCGAGAGCGCCGTTCCTGAGTTCGGGGGCCTCTATGGCCAGGGCCTCTCGCAGGAAATCCGCCGACCCATTGGGGTTCATCGGCGTGTGAGATCTTCCCCCTCCCCAAACCCCTCCCCCGGGAGCCCGGTCCGGTCGATTTGGAGAGGGGGGGGGGGGTCCGGCCAAATTCCCCGATTCCCCCGGGAGGGTCCGGCCAAATTCCCCGATTCCCCCGGGGGGGTCATGCGCTCCCGAAAATCCTGCAAGGACTCCTCCGGTGGCCTCGAAATGACCCCGGGACGCCAAACGAGCGCTCCAAGACGCCCAAAGTGGCCCAAAGACGGGCTACGAGGCCTCCTAGACGGCACAAGAAGTCCCCACGAGGCCCCAAGAGGCCTCCAAGATGCGTCCCAACAGGGTCCCTAGACGCAAAAATTTCCGCATTCCCTCCGTTAAACGTACATTTTTCACAAGTTCGCCTTCTGGGTTTTCCGATGCTCCCAGACGGCCCAACAGGCCCCCAAGAACGCCCCAAGACGGCCCAAGAAGCCTCCAAGAGGGTCCCAAAATAGCCCAAGAGGGCCCCAAGACGGGCCAACAGGCGCCCAAGACGGCCCAAGAGGGCCCCGAAAACGGCCCCCAGAGCGCTCCAGGAGCGCTCCGAGTGGCCTCCCAGAGAGCTCAATGTGGTCCCAGACGGTCCAAGAGCGGTCAAAGACACCGAAAACGGCCTCCAGACGGCCCAAGATGCCCCCAAGAGGCCTCAAGAGGCATCCAAGATGCGCCCCAAGAGGGCCTCTAGACGCAAAAAGTTGGCCCCTTCGTAGAACGAACAGTTTTCTCAATTTCGCCTTTTGTGCTTTCCGACGCTCCCAGACGGCCCAAGAGGCCCCCAAGACCGCACCAAGACGGTCAAAGAAGCCTCCAAGAGGGCCCCAAGACAGCCCAAGAGGGCGCCAAGACGGCTCAAGAGGCGCCGAAGACGGCCCGAGAGAGCCCCGAAGACGGCCCCAAGAGCGCTCCAGGAGCGCTCCTAGTGGCTTCCAAGAGAGCTCAACATGGTCCCACACGGTCCAAGAGCGATCGAAGACACCCGAGATGGCCTCAAGCTGGCCCAAGACGCCCCCAAGGGCCTCCAAGATGCGTCCCAAGAGGGTCCCTAGACGCAAAAAAAATGTTCATTACCTTCGTAAAACGTATTGTCTTCACAAATTCGCCTCGTGGGTTTTCCGACGCTCCAAGGCGGCCCAAGAGGCCCCGAAGACCGCCCCAAGACGGCCCAAGAGGCCACCAAGACGGCCCCACGACGGCCCAAGATGGCCCCAAGACGGCCCCAGAGGTCCCCAAGACGGCCCAAGAAGGCTCCAAGACGGCACCAAGAGGGGCCCAAGAGGGCAACCAAAAATTCAAAAATCTAGCTTTCCGCCCCACGAGCCCCAGGGGGGCCCAAAAGTGCCCCAAGAGGCCGCCAGAGGCCCCCAAGAGACCGCCAAGACGCCCCAAGGAGCCCCTAAGAGGCCCCCAGGAGGCCTCCAAAAGACACCCAGACGCCTCCGCATTGCGAGCCGTCAAGCCAGCTGCAATGCTCTCGGCGCGGCGCATGCAGCCTTACTCTTCCTCGCGCCGTGCTCACAATCTTGCTCGGCGCTAATGTGCTACTGCCGCGCGAACTGTTTCGTGCGCGCTGCGAACGTCAACGGCCTCTTCACCCGTTTCGACTCATCTGCCACATCTTTCGCGGTGATGCTTCGCTGATCACAGCTTCCGCACGCTACTCTTGTTCCTTTCGTCTTCCGGTGGTCCTCCACTTGGTTGCGGGTCGAAAGGCCGACCTCCCAGAAGGACACCCCGCACCCGGGCGCACAGCACGCAAGGCGCTCGCAAAACACGCCCCAGACCACTGGCATCACGCAAACATTTGGACCCCCTACGTATCTGCCACCACCCGCGCGCGACACCGCACCCTCACACAAGACGCCACTGGCCAGAAACTCCTGGCCTCGCAACAGTCACACAAGGTGTCGGCGGATGTGGCGTAAGCCTGTAGAATCGTGAGGAAGCATCGAGCGGGAGCCCTTGTCATCGAGGCTGGGCCTCCACCAACTCGACTGAATTACGAGAAGTCTCCAGCGAGAGCGCCGTCCTTGAATTCGGGGGCCTCTCTGGCCAGGGCCTCTCGGAGTAAACCGTGAGGAAGCATCAAGCGGTGGCCCTTGTCGTCGCAGTTGGGCCTCCACCAGTTTGACTGAAATATCGAAAAATGTTGAGCGAGAGCGCCGTTCCTGAGTTCGGGGGACTCTCTGGCCAAGGCCTCTTGGAGCAAATCGTGAGGAAGTCTGGAGCGGTAGCCCCGTGTCGTCGTGGCTGGGCCTCCGCCGACTTGACCGAATTGCGAGGAAGTCTGGAGCGAGAGCGCCGTTCCCGAGTTCGGGGGCCTCTCTGGCCAGGGTGTCTCGAGGTAGACTGCGAGGAAGTATCGAGCGGTAGCCGTTGCTGTTGTAGACGGGCCTCGAAGGGCCCACATTTACAGTCAAGCCCGGGCTCGAGCGGGAACATCGTTTCCAGAGGAATTGCAACCGGCGTCGAGGCGAGAGCGCGCGGAACCGTTGCCATCGTTCAACATCAATTATTCTCTGGAAAATCATGTTCAACAACAACCACAAGCACAACCACAACCACAAACGCAACAACAGCAACAACAACAACACCAACAACAACAACAATCACTTTACCCGAACGCTCAGTGTTCTCACCAGTGCCAGGGTTTTCATGCGACGCCAGCCAATACCCCCACTTTGTGGGGGGGCAGTGCAAGCTCTACCAAATATCCACACGACTCTTCGCCACCACCCACACCCAGCTTCCCGCCCTATGACGTTCGGACACTTCACTTCGTGGCCTGCGGACGACCGTGGCTACTACACTGGCGTGGAGTACACAGCCACAGAAGTTGTTAAGCCTACGTTCGTACACCCACAGAAGTTGTTAAGCCTTGTTAACCCACAGAAGTTGTTAAGCCTTCCACAAAACATCTGTTGCATATGATGCATATGGTACATGATACACATGATACACATGCGATTCGTGTGATTT